CACTTACACTGATAAGCACTCACTCATCCCCCCTCCCTTTCCAACGCCTTCGATGCTTACCTGCCCCATGATGTAGACGTCGGGTCAGCTGGCGGCGCAGTCGAAAGATTGCAGCAGTTCCCAGATCAGATGTACACACTGTGTTTATTGTGTTATGATATCCCCTACCCAACCCTGTGGCTTGTCATGTCTTTCACTATGTGGTGATGTGTTCATTCTTATGCTCTTTTTTTTGTGCAGAGGAGTTTTTTTGTTTCCTGTTCTCGTGCTGTCCTGACATGGAAGCACAGCATGAGTGGGGGTCTCTTTTTTTCCTCTTGTACCATCCCTTTGTTGTGTACATTTCAGTGTTTTTCCTTCTGTAATGCTGCCAATCTCCGACTTGTAACCCCATGTGATGTCTGTGTTATGTGTGTAATGTCGGGGGGGTCCCATTTTCGCTGCAGGGCAACCTGCTTGCGACAAATAAAGCTTGATGATACTGATACTGATACTTCAGCTCTTGGGGGAGGCAGACGCCTCTCTCTCCCTTGTCTTTCCTGCTTAGCTCCTATGTCCTTGTCTAGTCTCGTCTAACTCTAACCCTCAGAGATCCTTTCAGTCTCGTTCTTGTTCTCTAAAAAGTTAAGAAGAATTATAACTGTTGATTTGATCAACTGGTCCCTGAGTGCAGTTGACACTCTCTTCTCTACGAGGAGCCTGGGTTCGAGAGAGCCCCAGTGGAGGGACATTCCCTGCTGGATACACGATGGATGGGTAGCAGAAGTAGCGCGTCGTGTGGCTGGCGGGTCTGTCTATCGAGGACATTGAAGACATCTACCTATTCAGAACCATGACAACGGGGTTCTTGCTGATCTGAGCTGGTTTGGCCCTAGCTTATCAGCGGCAGCTGGACGCTTGAAGACAAATGCCGACGAGAACAACAACAAATTCTCCCCTGATAGCGACAACGAGACTCCCTAACTCTCTCACCAGTTCCCTCCAGGCCACCTGCGTAGGCTGCAGACTGTTGATCTTCGCTTAATTAGGTGAAAGGACACTTCCTCAGGCTGAACGCAAGCCACACATCCTCACACGCACGCACACGGACAAAAAGGCCATGTCTACACTAATACGTTTTGATCTTTTTCTGTCTGTTTTGGCCTCCCGTCCACACTGAGACGGCGTTTTCGGTCAAGGAAAACAGCTTTTTGAAAATGCTCTCCAAAGCAGATACGTTTGAAAAACGCAGCTTTTGCGTTGTGGTGTGGACTGTGAAAATGGAGGCTTTGTAAAACCATGACGCATTTTAGTCATGTGATGCAGTCATGTGACCAATTCAACTAAGGTGGTGGACAGCATTTTGTTTGCTGTCAGTTTTGACAGACCTATTAAAGGTTAATATCAGTCTGTACATGCTCCAGATAGCTTTTCTTCCAATTCTTTAATTCTCACTCGTTTTTGCAACTTTGCACTCTCATATTACTCGCTGCAACAACTCCACCTCATTGTCAGTCCATTTAAAAAATTTGGTGCTTTTCCTTCACATTTTGCCGCGACGTTTCAAAGAGCGCAAAGTAAAAAAACAGCAGACAGAAATGAGGGAGGTTGAATTGTGTTACTTTACGTGCATGTACAGTACTGGAACGTAAGCGTTTTTGGCTGTTTCAATGTGGACGAACAACTCTTTGAAAATGATAGTGTGGACACGGAGCAGTTTTAGACAAAGGTAGTCAAACTTAGGGGATCGAACTACCAGAAGGCAACATTGCAGACATCGAGGACAGCTACAAGTACCTGGGGATCCCACAGGCAAATGGGAACCATGAAGAGGCCGCTAGGAAAGCTGCAACCACCAAGTACCTGCAGAGGGTCAGGCAAGTCCTGAGGACTATCAACACCTACCAACAGGTACCCTGCTGGGATAATAAGCTGGCCAAAGGAGGAGATAGAAGCCACTGACATCAAGGCAAGAAAGCTCCTGACCATGCACGGAGGGTTTCACCCCAAGTCCAGCACCCTGAGGCTGTACGCTAAGCGGAAGGAAGGAGGTTGGGGACCGTTGAATGTCAGCACCTCAAATGGTAAATGGTGTGTATTTATATAGCGCTTTACTAGTCCCTAAGGACCCCAAAGCGCTTTACATATCCAGTCATTCACCCATTCACACACACATTCACACACTGGTGATGGCAGCTACATCGTAGCCACAGCCACCCTGGGGCGCACTGACTGAGGCGAGGCTGCCGGACACTGGCGCCACCGGGCCCTCTGACCACCACCAGTAGGCAACGGGTGAAGTGTCTTGCCCAAGGACACAACGACAGACTGTCCGAGCCGGGGCTCGAACCGGCAACCTTCCGATTACAAGGCGAACTCCCAACTCTTGAGCCACGATCGTGCTGGGTCTGGTGTCAGTTACCTCAGGCAGCAGAAACGTGAGAACGAAGAGGAGCAAGAGGAGGCACCATCATGGAAGGACGGGCCCCTGCACGGTATGTACCACCAGCAGGTAGAGTAAGTGACTGATATCCAGAAATCCTACCAGTGGCTGGACAAAGCTGGACTGAAAGACAGCACAGAGGCACTAATCATGGCAGCAGAAGAACAAGCTCTGAGATCCACAGAGGCTGGAGTCTATCACACCAGGTGCAGGTTGTGTAAAGATGCCCCTGAGACAATCCAGCCATATCCTTCATATTCATGTTATTTTAAATGGCTGAATTTGTGTTAGTACAAGTTGCTTACTGAGGATTTTTTGTGTGTTCCTGGTTGTGGTTTTATCTGCTCAGTGACTGTCGATAAAAACTGTGCTGCGTCTGGTACAGTACATTTTGTCATTTGGGATTTTAATGTTTGACCTTTGACTCATTGTATTGACTTTGAGTACTCCAGGAGAGTAGAAAAGTGCTATATAAGAATCAGTCCATTTACCATTTTACCATTTACTTGTCAGTTACATTTGCATCAGTATAATTTGCTTACTGATGATGTGTTTTTATGTTCCTCTTTGTGATTGGACCTCAACAAAGTTAAAGTAGAAAATGAAATCAAGGTGTAACAGTTTAACTAGAATTTTTAAACTCTGATTTCAGGTTCTACTTGGAGCTCGAGCCTTTGTCCAGAGCAGCAGAACCCGAGGCTGCTGTGCGTTCAGGAGTCAGGTGACCTCAGGCTCCACCCCCTCTCGCACTGATTTTCATCACAGATGTTTTTTATCAAAGTGAAATCTGGAAACCACATCTGTATTTTTCTGACACGTGTGAGCTGCTCCAGATGTTGTCAGTCATATCACGTCTCTCTTCTCCAGATGTTGTGCCAGCTGCTTTACTCCTGCCTGTGTCTGCTCTCTGCTGCCTCCTGCTCCCTGGTCAGTGCCACTGGTCTGTCTCAGGGTCCCCTCTGCCTCTACAACGACTCCTCTGGTCCCACCTGGGGGGTCCCGCTGCAGCCCCTCCCAGGCCGGTGAGACACACTCACACAGATGTTCTGAACTGGTTTTAGTGGTTTCCTGTCTCTCTGTCCTCAGACACTCGGAGTAATGTCAAAGATGTTTTCTTTGTAGCCTCGGACAGATGTTTCCTTGTACTCTTGGGCAGATATTTTCCTGTCTCCTTAGACACTCGGGATACCTGTTCAACAGGACTCTGTGGTCTGGGGTCTGCTTGGAGCCCAGCTCGGTGGTCCAGTGGAACTTGGTCCTGTTCAGTGTGATGGGGACTGTGAGCGGACTGCAGACGGTCCTCTGTGGGGCCAACATCCTGAACTCCATACTTGGCCTGATTCTGGGCCGGGGCCTCTCCCACAGTAAGGTCTGTGGGAGAACACACCTTTGGACCATCTATTTATAACGTCTGCTCCAGATTTAGCAGTTTATTCATGTCGCACGTGTGTGTGTGTGTTTCTATGTTTCAGATCAGTCCAGTTTCAGTTTGACGTGAGTTCGATCCTGGGAGCTCCAACTGTGATACACAGAATTAAAATTAAAAGTCTTTCACTGATGCACTTTAGATAATCAATAGCATGAAGATCAATAACTTGAAATACCTCGACCTTACGCAGGATTGCAGTACATGTACCTTTTAATAATTATTTATTTATTTTCCTGAATAAAACTATTCAAACATCCAGTTAAGCTAAATAATCAATAATAAAATAATATCCTCGTGCTTAATAAGAGCTTCAACAAATTCAAATGTTTGGTTAAAAAAAAACAACTAAATCATTGATTTTTGTTTTCAAAGTTAAACTCTGATTTTTATTGATTATGTTGTTTACTGATCATTTTATTAAACTTTTTATTTTTTAAATTTATTTATTTTGATTAGCATTCAGATATCTCAGTGTATACAGAATAAAGATCTACCACAAAGAAAGCACGAGACAAGGCTAATCAACAGTTATTGGCTGAAGCATACGCTTATGCTGTTTGTGTTTTTGTGATAATCCATAAAAACAAATAAAACTAAAAGTGTTAAAGATGTTGTGGTTTTAGTTGCAGAGTTAATATCTGCAGATGTCACAGTTCTGATTACACTGATCATTCAGATAATAACAACACAGCGCAAACAACAACGCTCTGTATTTATTCATGTGTTTGTGGAGTTTGCAGTGTGATGTTTCGAGGTTTTGCTCCATGTGGATGATGGTCCAGTGTGGCGTCTTTGAACCCTGAGCCATCCTGTTCTGTCTCAGTCTGTTTTATCTGCAAGCTTGCAGCACATAAAGCTGAGTTTTCCTCCTGTATTTGGGTGCATTATGACTCCAACTCCAACCTGTCTGGGGGTTTTGCAGGACTGTGTTGCTGACATAAAGTTGTGGTTGGTGCTCAGCTTTTTAAACTTGAATGCACCAACAAACACTATTACACTATTCAGACTCTCGCTCCTCTTTTAAGGACGACCTTGGCCCTGAATGTCAAGGTGACCTCAGATGAAGCAGGGCTCAGACGCACAGCTCCAAGTGAACTCCACTGCATTAATGTGTGAGTGAGCCAGAGGTCACACCCTGACTACGCACGTAGACAAGTACCATACACACACACGTGCGATGGATCATGGCTCAGGTTTCTTTTTTAATCATGTGACAAACAGGAAGTAGAGCCGTGAGGATGAAAGTGGAGTCAGACTCGGGTTCAGCAGCTAAATGCAGCGGCTGTTTCAGAGCCACGTCTGCAGTGTGAAATGCAGACACGAGTGAGGCCCACACTCCCTGTGACGGCAGGCTCTGCTGAGGCAGGTGGGCTGGTTAATGGGTTGTGAGGGTGGAGTTAAAATGGGGTTGTCTTCCTGATCTGACTGTAGGTGGTGTGTTTGAGGTCAGGGTCAGTCCAGTTACGCTTGCCGTCTCAGTGTAGCGCCTTGTGTGTGTGTCCACGTGTCTTGTTTCCCCGCTTTGTTCCCATGTTCTCCTTGTGTTCAGCGTCATGTCTCCCAGCCCATTGTGTCCTCTGTACGTGTTCCGTAGTTTGATCCGTGTCTCGTCTCCCATTGTCACTTCCCTGTTCACTTGTTTAGTCCGAGTGTCTTACTCTGCCTATTTCCTGTTTTATTTTGACAGTCCCGTGTTCCATGTTCGGTGTGTTTAATTTTGCTTCCCCTGTGGAGTCATGTTCATCTGTCAGCTGGTTCCATCGGTACCTTTCTGTGTATTTACGCCCTCTGTCTCCCTCTGCTGGTCGTCTGATCATCTGCTAAGCTCCTCGTGTCTCATATCTATTTCCTAGTGTTCCTGGTTTTCATGTATTTATTTTCCCAGTTTAGGTTTTTGCGATTAGTTTCTCTTTTTCGTGTGTGGTTCATGTTTTCGGCCATAATAAAAGACACGTTTTCTGTTCAGATCAACACTGTTTCCACGTTTCGTGTGTCTGTCTTTGGGTCCACTACTGTCCACTCCACAGACCATGACATGACAACATGAGCTGAAGCTCAGGAGGGCTCAGAGGGCTGATTGATCAATCATCACACAAGTATTTTTTATTATTTATTTATTTTCTTATTTTGTCTGCTGCCCGTCATGGCCCCCTTGTCAAACCCTGTTGTCATACCCCTTGACACCTTCCCCCATATCTCTGCTCAAAGTGCCAAAACCTCAGCCGGTGAGTGTTTGATTTCTATTTATTCATGTGGTGTTTCTGCTCCCTCCGCCCCCTTGCTCTTGAATAACTTTCAAAATATACTGTATATCTAAAACACAAAGCAGGCTGCCTGTGTACGGGAGCTGTCAGGAGGCTGTCATGTTAGTCTGCTCTGCCTGGCATACACACGGTCTTATGAATTCATGAGCTTGAAGTAGAAAAATATCTGTAAAACTGTGCGTGTAGCTGTCTGTGTGTACACGTTTACCTTTGATTATACATTTGCATGTATCAATTTTTAGTTGATATATATATACATGCAGCCAGCATGGATTCATGTGCATGATGTGACTTTAACCACATAAAAAGACCCCAATTCACCAGCCAGAGAAGATTCTTAAGTTTCTCAGCTTTTTCATGTAAAGGTTTTGGTCTAATCAGCCCTCAGTCTGTGCTGATTTAACATCGGAGCCCATTTCTCCCTGTCCTTAATCAGGCTCTCATCATGTTTCCTGCACGCCATGAATGATTCACTGTCGGTCAGATCTGAGCATGTGGACAGCCTCTCAAGGACTTGAGCGACCGTGGCTCAGGGGGTTGGGAAGCGTATCTGTAACCGGAAGGTCGCCGGTTCGATCCCCGGGCTCTCTGTCCTGGTCGTTGTGTCCTTGGGCAAGACACTTTACCCTACCGCCTACTGGTGTTGGCCAGAGGGGCCGATGGCGCGATATGGCAGCCTCGCTTCTGTCAGTCTGCCCCAGGGCAGCTGTGGCTACAACTGTAGCTGCCTCCACCAGTGTGTGAATGTGAGAGTGAATGAATAGTGGCATTGTAAAGCGCTTTGGGTGCCTTGAAAAGCGCTATATAAATCCAATCCATTATTGTTTTCTGTCTAGAAGTTCTGTAACATCTTCCAGCCTTTTAAGATGAAACGGGAGCTCGAGAGATGAAGGGGGCATATTATAATATCACAGAAGACTTCTCTCTGATAAACCTTCGCCATGGTGCTGCTCTGCAGGTCACTGACGGTTGAAGACGAAAGAGCCTGGGTAAAAGAAAGGGGAGAAAGAAAGAGGGAAAGAAAAACAGCGGGGAAGAGGGACGGGGATAAAGGGCAAAAAACAAAAACCAACAAAATAAGCAGACAAAAAATCCATCTATCAATTACCTGGGGTGGCTGTAGCTCAGGTGGCAGAGCAGGTCAGCCACTAATCAGAAGGTCGGTGGTTCGATCCCAGGCTGCCTCCTGGCTGCATGCCAAATATCCTTGGGCAAGATACTAACCCCGTGTTTGCCTACTGGTGGTGGTCAGAGGGCCCGGTGGCGCCAGTGTCCGGCAGCCTCGCCTCTGTCAGTGCGCCCCAGGGCAGCTGTGGCTACAATGTAGCTTGCCATCCCAGTGTGTGAATGGGTGAATGACTGAATGTAGTGTAAAGCGCTTTGGGGTCCTATGGACTAGAAAAGCGCTATACAAATGCAGGCCAGGCCATCACCTGTTGAGAATGAAAAAAGAGAAAACAAGCTGAAGAAAAAAAAGAGCAACACAATCAACATCACGATGATCTATGGGAATATGACAGTAAATACTAAATATTAAACATTATTGTGCAGCACATAAGATCAACAGAACACAGTGTGCTTTGAGGTAGGAGCCAAAAAGGGTGTAGTTTGTGGGTGTGATCACCCGTGTGTACACCTGTGAGCATGGACGCGCTTGTTTTTTTAAAAGGTTCCTTCATGTAATGATCTGCTAGAGGGTGTGGGGGGGCCACAGCCCCGTCCTCCAGGGCATGAAGCAGGTATGGAGGAGATCAAGACTCCAGACATCCAGAGGCCCTCAGAAGGAAGCAGAGGAGCCGAGTCATGTGTCGAGCTCAGAGTTTGAAATCAGCCATTTCCTCTGATTCTTTTATGTGCAGCCCAGCAGCTCAGAGTGCGTGTGGTCATGTGGTCATGTGCTGATTCTGCTTTCCTGCTGAGTGTCACTCTGCTGCAAACAGTGAACACACCTGTTCAGCCAATCACATTAATGCCCTCTGATCTGATATCAGGTCTCCTTCATCAGGATGTGGGACAGGAGGTGTTCATGTTTCCATGGAAACAGCTGTAATGTGCAGCCGTCACCTTAGAGACCAACAGCAGCACTGAGCGCGCTCAGACACCAAATGATTGACTGTAATTCAAACTCTGTTCTCCCGCTCTGTGCCGAAGATTCATCGTCATCAGTAAAACAAAACGAGTTTTATTTGAACCTTTGAGGTTTTCACCGTTCAGCAGAACTCTGTATGTGTGAGTGTGTGTGTCTGAGTGTGAGTGACGTCTGGGTGTGGGCGTGGCCTCGCTTGCCGCACCTGTCGTAGGTAAATGTAAGTGCGACAGAGCCAAGAACACGGAAGTAACCGTGTGGCCGGAGGCTCGCTGCGCTGTTTCCTGATTATTGAAGCTTTGTATTGATTGTTGATGATGACTGGGGGCGCGACCCTGATCCCGCTGAAGCTGCTCGCGCTCGGGCTCGTGCTGGCTTCGGGTCTGGCTATGGACTGCAGTTGGAACCAGTCCACCGACCCCAAACAGGTCCCGGATTTCGAGGCTGGCGGAGCGCGGCTGCTGAGCAATGTGATGGAGCTCGATCCCAAGAGTTGCCGGGCGATGTGCTGCGCGCTTCCGGACTGCGATCTGGCTGTGATCGGGTTTCCGACGGACGGACCGACCCACTGCAAGCTGGTGGGCTGTGGGGACGGCCACGACGCCTGCGCACTTCGTCCCAGTAGCCAGTTTGAGGTTTACCGTAAGCTCGTGGCGGAAAAGGCCGACGGAGATGCGCAGGAGGGCGGCCAGGAGGAGAACAACATGCCGCAGGTGCAGCGCTGGGAGCCGCGGAGCAACGGGTCTAACAACAGTAAGAAGCTTTGATTATTGATCGACAGGCAGAGCCGTAGTGGAGCTGACAGATCAGGCTGAACATAACTGATCCTTTACCTAATCGATAAATGGCTCATTGATCAGTCTGCAGGGAGAAACCTGATCAGTTTAACTTGATTATTGGTCGTTATTATTATTATTATTATTATTATTATTATTGATTTCCTCCTTCGTGCTGAAGACTTTCAAAATAAAAGAAGCAAAAGAAGGCGGAGTCAGAGCTGACTCAGTAATGACCTCATTCACTGAAACCTTTGAGAATACTGAGCTCATACTTCCTGATCAATAACAGAGTTGGCGTGTGAATCTGTGAAAAGGGAGTCGCTGTGGGCGGCGCATTTGGTGCCTCATTGTTGTTGACCAATGCTGCCCATCCTGCTCTGCTGCATTGTTACCTGCACAGGTGAACTGCAGACACAAACCCGTGACCTGTGGCCTCTTTGTGACGCTTCACGCTCTGGTTGATCAGAGACATATTCACACTAATGTCAACAGGAAGCGCCAAACATGGACTGAACCTGAGAGCGTGGACGCTGTGGTCATTATTATAATAATGATAAAAACAAGTGAAATTGATGTCACAGAGAAACTGACCTTTGACCTTTTTAGTCTAACGTGACGGATGAGGCTTTCAGCTGCTCAGTGATTACCTGAAACAGAGAGCTTTATGAGCACAAGGTGAGTGAAGAAGAAACCCGCAGTGCATCATGGGAGCCCCCGGCAGCCTCTCTCGGGTCGAGCACCTCTGAGAGTTAATGATCTGCTCTCATTTGTTTCCTTGTAAATGTGACACCATGCCCTACCTGGAATCCACCTGTGCAGGTATTTTTACAGGCTCTTTGTTCTCCGAGAGGTTGGACCGGTCGGGCTGCTTCACCTGAGAGGAGGCGGAGCCCTCACCTGTTTGTTTGAAGGTGATTTAAACACCTGAGATTTTCATGAGGTTTGGGTTTTTGAGTCCATCTACTGTCCAGTTTATTTTGCTGGCACACCCATAATGCACCTGGTTTTCTGGATTAACTCATTGGTGTTACCTGATACGTCAACACTCCTTTCTTTGTATTTTGGTTGGAAGGTCAGCTGAAGCCATGGCAGTGCCTCCACCGTGGCTCACAGATGGCTGCAGACTCTCAGTTTGGGATCTCCTCATACATACTGATGTGGATCCATCGCTCCGTCACACCTGGTCCTCTTCAGTCCAGTTCTCGTGTCATTTTCAGACCTCAGTCTTTTCTCCTGTGTCCCCTCATGTGGAATGACTTCCTGACAGCCGTCCTTCACTGAGACCTGTCTGATGAGGCTTCAGTGGACACTAGATGATCGTCATTAGTAGATGATACTTTGAGTGTTAGTTTTACACTTTTTAAGTTCTTCCTGTGAGGAGGGCGTTTGACAAACATGTGACTCCAGAGTCTGAGCCTCGTCAGGGAAGGTATATTTACCAAACTAATAAGTCTTAAAACGTCTCATTCGTTTAGTTTCCACGACCACTAACTTTGTTAGTGTTCTTTCTTTTTCCAAACATCTAGTTCTTATTTTTATTTTAGTGCGCTATGATGACCGTGACAAAGAGCCTAAAGACAGTTTAAAACTGGTTCTTTGCTCAGGTGTCTGTTATGAGCAGAGACAAAACTGGCTCATCTTTGCATCAGAAGCCTGAGGTCAGAGGTCAACAAACAAACGCACTCCTTCAGGAAGCTGGAGAGCTGTTGCTCAAGAGCACTTTGAAAATTACAGGAAACTGACAGGGTTTGAACTCAGCCAATCAGAGAGCGCCGAAAGATTATCAGTGCTGTTATTGACGGTGTCTCTGTTGTCTCTCTCAGTTCGCTGTCGCTTGCCGATGAAGGTGGGCCCGTGTCGCGCTGCCTTCCCACGCTTCTTCTACAACGTGACGAGCGGGAACTGCAGCAGCTTCGTGTACGGCGGCTGCGAGGCCAACAGAAACCACTTTGAGTCTCAGGAGGAGTGTGAGGCCACCTGTTCCGGGGTCACAGGTAAACTTCCTGTTTATGTTTGTTTAAAGGAACAGTGCCTATTTAAGGACACGGGGAATATAAATTCATCGTTGACTGTGTGGGGATGAGGCGCGCAGGCGGATTTCACCTGCAGGTTGAAGAAAAAAAAAAAACGACACGCGAGCGTCATTAAAACACAGATCCACGGTACACGTTACAGATCGGATATGAAACCACTCCTTTAAAGTCACACAGACTAATGACGTGTTTGATAATCAGTAACCAACGTTTGACTGATCGAGCACACAGACTGTGAGGGTCATTATTAAACCGACTGTGGGGGGGCTCTGGCTGTGACAGCTGTGGGGTCAAAATTCACAGCACAAATCTTTGTCCTTTCTTAAATTTCCTTCATTAAAATCATTTTTGTCCTCCGTGTTTCTGAATCAAACAACAGCAGCTGAGCGGCTCGCATCTTCTCCTATCTGAGATGATTTGATTGGACAATCAGATCAGGTGACTTTTCCTGTCAGACACTCGATTTTCAGATTATTACGACACTGCTTAAAGGCACCATGATCACAGAGGACACACACACAGTATCAAAGGTGTGTTTACTCACGCAGTAAAAACATTAAAATCTGATCTAAAGAATGTAAAAGGGGCGGGACTAACAGCTGGTTTGTTTAAGGTGGTCTGGTGTTTGTACCTGAGTGAACCAGAACTGGATCAGTTTAACGTTTTTGTTCCAGGTAAACCAGAGAACACCTGGTTTACTTCAACCTGCTGGACGATCAGTGGAGTGTGTCCTCTCACCATCAGCTTTCCTTTAAAAGGACAGCTTTGGCTTACCTGTACTCAGCTGATGAGTTTACAAAAGCAGCACTGTAAACCCACATGACAGCATTCATGCCCCCGATTGGTTGAGTGTTCAACTGGAAGGACGGGCATTCTTCATTTAGGTGCTGCACCTGGTTACACCTGTGGAGCACACCTGGTCAAAGTAAACTGTGTGTGTTTTTCCAGGCCCAGTTCTCCCTGATGAGTCCACTCCTGCTCCTCCTCCTGTTAAAGCTCCTCGGATGGCTCCAAATGTTCTGGTTGAATCTGATCCAGAATCTGCTGACTTTGACAAATCTGGTAACGCCACCCCGACTCACCAACCAATCACTGATCAATAACACTGATCATTTATAACACATGTCACTACTGCAGTACTCCAGTACTACTAGCAGTCCCACTCAAGTTACCTTTGAAAAGTACTTCTTCTAGAGGAAGATGCAGTGCTGCCACCTGCAGGACAACCAGGTTCAAACAGTGCTGCAGTATGTCTGTGAACAGTTTTTGTCACAGTTTTATGAAAAATAAAAAAAATTGCCTTTAAATTTAATTTTAGACAAAAAGTAAAACACAGGTATACAAGTAGACAGGTAGGAACAGGAAGTAAAACTCAGGTCCGAAAACAGGAAGTGACTAACTGCCTTTCTTTCTCCCTCCTGCAGAGGTAACTGCCGAGGGAAATGATATGATATCCTTTTACTCTTTCACAAATATGAAACTTTTACCTGCCTCTCCATATAAGTGACACCTGTGTGGTGTTGTCCAATCAGAGTACTGCGAGGCGAAGCCTGAAACGGGTCCCTGCAGAGCATCGCTGAGGCACTGGTACTACAACCGAGAGACAGGAAACTGTGAGATGTTCACGTATGGAGGCTGCAGAGGAAACAAGAACAACTACCTAACCAGAGAGAGCTGCATGCAGACCTGCACAGGTGAGAGACACATGCACATCAGCTGAGGGTACCTGCAAAGGTGAGAGGTGAGAGATCCAAGATCCTCACCTGTCGGGCAGGTGGAAGAGCGTTCGCTGACGTGTTTGTTTTCTGCAGTGTCCGTCCTTCCATCCTCTAAGAAATCCGCAGATGAGGACTCCTCAGACAACAAGGGTAAGAAATGAAACGCACCCTTGCTGCAGCATGTCACCTGACTGTGGGTGGAGCTAGAGCACACATGATTAGGTTGATATGGGGACTGCTGCTGGCACGGTGCAGTTGCAATGTGGGTAATGTGATTGCGCCCGTGTGTGTTACAGGGATGTGCACAGACAAGCCGGACTCCGGGCCCTGCCGTGCCGCCTTCACAATGTTCTACTACGATCTAGACTCCGCCTCCTGCCAGCCCTTCATATATGGCGGTTGCCGTGGCAATTACAACCGGTATGGCAGCGAGGATGAGTGCATGAGTAGCTGCAGTGGAGGTAAAGAGACACCGCCTACATCCATCTTAAAGTGGCCCTCGTCACGGTGAACTCTGACCTCTGCTTCTCTTTCAGGTCGGCTTGACTTTCATGATAAAGTCCAAAACCACTGGACCGCAGGTGAGTGTGTGTCTGCCTGTGTGTGTGTGTCTGCGTCTGCGTGTGTGTCTGCGTGTGTGTCTGCCTGGTGTGTTGTGTGTGTCTGCCTGTGCGTGTGTGTCTGCGTCTGCGTGTGGTGCTTGCTGCCGTGTGTGTCTGCGTGCTGCGTGTGTGTCTGCTGTGGTGTGTGTGTCGTGTGCGTGTTGTGCTGCTGCTGTGGTGTGTTGCTGTGGTGTGTGTGCCTGTGCTGCGTGGTGTGTGTCTGTGTGCGTGTGTGTGTCTGCGTCTGCGTGTGTGCGTCTGCGTGTGTGTGTCTGCGTGTGCTGTCTGCTGTGTGTGTCTGCGTGTGTGTCTGTCGTGTGTGTGTGTGTCTGCGTGTGTGTCTGTGTGCGTGTGTGTCTGTCTGTGTGTGTGTGTTCTGTGTGTGTGTGTTGTGTCTGCTGTGTGTGTGTGTGTGGTGCTGTGTGTGTGTGTGTGTGTCTGCCTGTGTGTGTGTGTGTGTGTGTCTGTTGTGTGTGCTGTGCGTGTGTGTGTGTGTGTGTGTGTGTGTGTGTTGTGTGTGTGTGTGTGTGTGTGTGTGTGTGTGTCTGCCTGTGTGTGTGTGTGTTGTGTGTGTGTGTGTGTGTGTCGTGTGTGTGTGTGTGTGTGTGTCTGTGTGTGTGTGTGTGTGTGTGTGTCTGTGTGTGTGTGTTGTGTGTGTGCTGCGTGTGTGTGTGTTCTGCGTGTTTGTGTGTGTGTGTGTGTGTGTCTGCGTGTGTGTCTGCCTGTGAGTGTGTGCGCGTGCGTGTCTGTGTGTGTTCAGGGCTGTGCTTCAGCTGGTGTCCAACATGGGCTCCGCAGCACAAATAAACACAGCTCAGCAGAGAACCTTTCACAATAAAAGCTCTGAGTTTCATCTTCATCTCCTGCAGCCTTCTTCCTCTTCGTCACGCTGACAGCCATCTCTGCCCTGCTGCTGGCCACACTCATCATCATCACGCTGAGACGGCACCGCCTCTCCCGCCGCCGGTCCTCCAGGTAATAGAAGGCTGCCCGTCTAAACTCTGGTGGGGTTGGTCGGTGGGTGGCGTGGCAGACTTGACGTGCAGGAGCTGTTTCAGTGACGCTGCTTCTCTTCCTGTTTCCTGTCTCTCAGCGATAAGGAGGAGCTGCTTCCAGATGAGCAGGCGTCCGTAGACTCCCTCCCCCTCCCTGAGAGCCCCAAACTGGATCAGAAGGCCTGAGGGGGCGTGGCTGAAGGCGTCGCTGAGTGTGGGGGCAGGGCTTGTTGTGATGCTGCTGTCAGAGACGCTTGAAGGTGTCAGCTAAATAAAACATCCCCTTTCCTTCGTGTTGCAGCACAATTACACTGCGTCTGTTACTGAATAATCAATCACTGTATCGATCTGCACTGATCAGAGCTTTAACTTCCTGATATTAAAGGAGCAGTCCTTCTAATTTAACCAAACACAGTGAGAAATTTGATGAAGAGCTTTAGTTTATGTTAGTTTTCTTTTTTTACATAATCAATCACTCTGTGAAGCTTTAGATTACCCTCATCCAGCAAAACATCTGAACCAATAATCAAAGTGAATATCGAGTCGGGTCAGGTGATCTGTACCTCACAGCTGATGAAACTAAACAGTTTTCTAATTTGAACATGAAATTGATCAGAAATGTTGTAGAAGGCAATAATTACTGAACAGAACATCACCTCTGTGTAGTGACACACCTGGCAGGTGCTGAGGAGTCACTTTAAAAATGACATTTGGTGATGATGTGATCACAGCAGCAAGCAGCTGATTGGTTGAGCGTGGACCATCTGTGCTCTGGTATGTACTAATCCCCTCACAGATGCTCCTCCCAGCTCACGCAGGTACCATCCAATGGAGCTGAATCTGATTCTCAGACTGCAAGTTCTGTCACTCAGGTGTGCATCGTGTGGGCGGAGTCAGTTTGAGCTTCTATGTGGAGGGAGTAGTACACAGCAGTGACTCTAAGTTTAATGAAGACTTTCAGCTTAAACTCCTGCTTTTGGCAGTTTTCAGACTCCATCCATGAAACTCGCCAATGGGTTTCTTTTTCTGCTGAGCAGCCCTTTAACCTCGTGTGCCAGGTGTGTTCCTCTGTGTAAACATAGATGTTTGTTGATCCGTGATGTCATCGATTCCATTGATCAGTAATAGTTTTTTTTCAGCATTCCAGTTTTGTGTTAAAAATAAAATTGTTTCTCACGCTTAAATAAATGGATGGGGGTCTTTGATCATCTCAGGGGCAGGTCTGTGGCGGTACTATTTTCTAACTAAATACAGCATATCCTTTGGCCCAGTGGTGGGCTCAGAGAAGAATGTGGTGCAGGTGTTGCTGGACCTGCAGCTCCTTTGTGGTTCACACCTATAAGCATGTGTGTGATCAGCTCAGGGGTGTTTAATCAGAGCATTCAGTGCAGCGTCTCCTTCGGCTGGATGCTAGAGGACTTTAGCTCACTCAGATTATTGATCAGACCCTAACCTGAGGTCAAACTGAGCGCACTACGTGTCCCACAATGCACCTGGGGACTTGATGGCTCCCCCTGCTGGGGAAACTGCACTGGGCCTATTAAGGTGATTTTTTTGTTTGTTTGTTTGTTTGTTTGTTTTAATACTGTTTTATCTTTATTAGCTGTAAACTGTGTGGGGTTTAAGAAAACTCATAATAAACTTTTATTTTACTCTGAAAATCTCTTTCACATTTTCTATTGATCCTCAATGTAATAAATAATCTGATTATTTCATTGATTGTGTGATTAATTGATAAGAGCTGATGAGGGACCTGCTCCAAGAAGTGGGTTGGACAAACCTGGGGTGCGTCCCAAATGTACCTCCAACATCCATTCACCTCTTTTCCTGGAATTCTCTGGAAAATAAAGAGCTGTGCGCTGAAAATTTGAACTCTCCTTGATGTGGTGCATCTTACTTCACCACAACATGTTCTGCTATTTCATGAATGTCATATAAACGAGAACAGCCTGGGAAAATATATTTCGTTCCAAAAGCTGGAATTTGAGGAAGGAGGACAGTTGTTGTTGCTGCGAGACAGTTTATTTCCAGGTGGGAGGTGTTATCAGGATGAGTTGCGTCCTTAAAGTCTTCATCAGTGTCACGCTGCGTGTTCAGAGGCGAGCCCACTGATTGTTCCTCAGTAACACTGTTTTCATTAAGGAACAGTTCAGAGATCAAAATTCTTGAGCTTGTTCAGTGTTCTTCATGCAGAAACAACTGAACAGAAAGTAGTTTTCATCCCAGCAGTGTGAGGCTCAGAGTCCAGCTGTGAGTGTAACAGCGATGATAGTGGAACTATAAATATATCAGCAGCTCATGGATTCAATGGAAAACGCAGTGATGATAAATATTTATCTGATCTGCTGCACTTTGGTTATTATATCCATGTTTTCATGCACAGTCAGCGTTTTCTCAAAGGACGGTCCAGTGTACCCTACTCTACAGGGAGTGCAGAATTATTAAACAAATGAGTATTTTGTCCACATCATCCTCTTCATGCATGTTGTCTTACTCCAAGCTGTATAGGCTCGAAAGCCTACTACCAATTAAGCATATTAGGTG